TGTCCACCGTGAATAAACCCCATTTTACCTGCATTCACGGCTTACCTCGCTTGCTTCCCGGCTCGCTCGCTCACCCATCATAACACCACTGTACCTGTAAGCTTAACTTTATCATGTAAACTGAAAACTAGTAATAAGTGTGAAGGATTTTCCAATTTTACAGATTTTCAGAAACTGCTTGTAGAGAAAAATGAAAGAGAACCAAAAGCCAGTGTTCAAAATGTCATCACTTCATATTGCAAAACGGGACGGGAATAACCAACGCTCATTCATACATGCACTGTAAGTAATCACTCTATACAATTAGCATTGGTACTCAGCCTTACAGTAAGAAGTAATTAGAGCCTCCAGAAAGATACAGCAAAGAATAAAGAACACACTAGATAAAACATAACAAATAATGTTAGGAATTTAACTGCAATTGCCAGAGAATTTATTTTTAAAATTAAGGATTTACCATCCTAATTATGTCTGTGGTCATTACTCTGATATTTTTAAGATATAAAATGAGTAAAACTATTATGTGTAAATGACAAATAATCATAATCAAAGAATACACTATGTTATGTGTAAAAACTGGTATTACCCAACACTGACAATACCTATAATAATAACTGTCCATCATGCAGCAAAACTATGTTCTAAATGAGTTAGTATTGAAGTCCTGTTATTATTATTATTATTATTATTATTATTAATCTAATTACACTTTATACCTTTGACATTGTTGGAGAGTCCTCAATCTGTGAACTCGTTTCAGAGTTGCTTCCATTACTGTTACTCTAAAAGCAGAAAATATTCAATGCACATTATGAACATACTTCTAAATTAATTGATTTGGAGTTTTCATGTTATTGATCTATGCATATATACTTTTATTTACTTTACATAAGGCTGACATTTTAACCAATGCAAAACAGTGTATATTGTCTACTTGAATGAGTCCTTAGAACATACCTCCACTTGTTCAGCTGATAGGCAGTGATCAAAGTCATCAGAGGCAGAAGGCAATCCAGATCCAGATTCAAGCTTATGTAAGGAGAAAAGAAATTAACCTACAGCACCTAAAATTCATAAAAAAAAAAATAAAATTGATGGACCTTTTTATTAATCTGGCCAACTTTACACAATAGCAAGGTCCGTTCTTTTTCAAGTCTCCTTCGTTCATTGTCTTCCATCACATAGTGTTCTAGACATTTGTTATGGTGCCTTTTCAGTTTCTGTAATCGTGCCTATAATGACAAAAGCAGAAAGAAATATTTCACACACGGAAATACCAAAACAAGTACCTCTAAATTTCAAGATAAAACTGGGGACATAAGAAAACATGGCTAATTTTTATTTTTCCAGTAAGCTGATTCGATCTTCCATTTTCAAAACTTCTCACTCATTTTTCACAACAGTAATACCTGACAATAGCTTTTCCTCTTCTTTGCCTAAAACATGCAAACAAGTAACGATGCTAAGAATTAAAATTAGTGTGAGATGACAATAGTGCCATTTCATGCACCCCAAGTTGCACAGGTGTTCACCATTAGAATTAGAAGCCTTTTAGTGTTATTACACTCAATGATAACAGGTCCATTAAACCATGCGTTTCTGAAACTACTAAATAAAAAGTTTTTTAAAAAGTGCTAATGTTTAACAAGGTATGGTAATATAATTAATACGGTAACAATACAGTATTGTTAAGCAACAAATGCCAATAAGATGAATATTGCACAGAGAATTACAAGTAATGTATAATACTGCACATAGAGCAGATATTTGCACTTGGCTGTAATTTATTACACAGAGAGAATTATTGCAAACCCAGCGAAGAGGTGTGTGTTGGGGGGCATGT